TTAGGGACTGTGTTGCCAAATTACAAATGACAAATTACATTGCCACACCCTTCTACAATATATACTGTATATGTATTTGTTTACCCTGCTGACAGCTACTCAGCATATTGAAATAACATTTTAGTGACTGACCTTTTGCTTAGTTCTGGTTTGTAGTGTTTGTCTCCACACACGGTATTGTATTTCTGAATAGAAAGTTTGCTTTGCAATTTTTAGCCTTCTTGGAATTCAGTACATGAGGTGGTAGAAACAGGGTCGGTGACATTCTTCTAGTATCTGAAGGGTTTTAATGAAAGGGAAAGAAAAATATTTTAACGCAACCTGGCTCTACTATATGTGGAAAAAAAATGTCTAACTGTGGCTCTTATATTGTTTTATTGCACGCTTATGCAAAAAGATGAACTAAGCACTGTTGCCATATAAGCTGACCACGTGACATAACCTCTGTGATATTTCGGAAAACAACTAATCTTCCATTGAATGGTTATACACATAATAGAGAATTTTAAAAAACAAGACCTGTGTATGGCAACTCTAAATATGCCAAGTGAAAACTTAAAAGCTCAGCTTCTATGAATCATTGGGAACTTTCCTTCCTGAGCTTTATGTGTCAGCCATCAGAATGCAATGGTAGGAGTGAGCACAAATACAACATGGCACAGACTGATTTCCAATTATCTTATAGCAGGGCGGATACAGAAGAATTTTTCAGACTAGCACCATATTTGTTTCAATGCCCAACACTCAACATTTCCATGTCATTCTATTGTGCCCATTCACAACTGAGCGTGATGTCATTCAACCCTGAAAAGAAGAACAGGAGCTTCTTCGGAGCATGATTGTTTATTTATGACCTCAATAGGCTTTAGTAGCAGCACCTGAAAACATGCATTTGTTGTGCTTAACAGCTGTCTCCTCCTCTTAGTAAACAGCTTTGCATTGAGTAAAACAAAAAAAGCCCTTGAGCCTAAAAACATGTATACAAATGTGCATAAAAATGTTTTGAAAAACAACCAAAGACGCCAACGCTAAAGTGTGAATGACTAACTCAGTCGTACTACAAACACATGAAACTATGTAGCCATTATGTGTAGCAGCTACAAATCACTCTAATTGTTCTCTTTAGTATTTTGTGACTAGTTTTTATATTTGCTGTTGTAGCTCACTACAATGTTTGTCTACGTAGCTGCAAACTGTACCATGATCATCAGTGGCTACTCTGGATTACAGGAGTTACTAAAGCTGGCAATGATGTGGCTAGCGCCAAATCCTGTAGAAGGTAGCTCAGCAACTGAGCTAAAATCACTGAAACCATTACTGCGTAGACCTTTCTTTGCAGATAATGTTTTTGCCAGCAACAAGAGTGCTAAAGGAGAGCAATTCTGTAGCCGCTATAAAAAAAAAGCTTCTGTGACATACCGTAGTTACATATTTAGTCAGGTTGAACAAAGACATTCATTCTAAGGGTTCCGGCACCCCTCCCAGTCCTGGAGAGCAGTAGCGGTGCCCCAGGCCAACTCTTTTTATTGTCTTGGCAGTCTATGTTCATATCTCGGTTGTAAAATTGAAGTAGTTCCACCTTCAGTAGTACTATAGACAATATCTGGTCTTGCCATTGTAAAACAGGGGCGGTGGGAATGAGAGTTTGGGTTATCAGCTCCAAGCTAACCTTTTGGCATTGTGCGACAACATCAAGTTGTTACTTTTTCTTATGTGAAACAGAGTCCTATGCACCAAGTTCTTACCCATGGCTAAGATTTGGATAATCTCTGCTTATACCCATATGTATACAGTGCAGAGACACTCAATTTGCAGCTATGGGTTTGGATGGCGCTGTATCCTTATCCAGCTTATGGGTTGATGGCAGGCATCTTAAGACCCTAATGATAGTGTCAGGTTTTTTAAAATTGGACCCAATTACAGTGGTACCTCGGTACACGAACTTAATTAGTTCCACGTTTCTGGTCGCGAAACGAATTGGACGCGAACCGAATCAAACTGTGATCAGACCGCGATCTCGACTAGAGGAAGCCACGACCATGTGTCAGAGCAGGGAAGATGGCTGTGGTTGTGTTCATCACCGGATGTGGAGTTCGCGAATGGAAGCAAAATTTTGCATTTCCCCATGGTCCCTGTGTGTGTTGTAAAGTAGCCACCACTCCAAGCTCTCCCCGGTGATGGACTACAATCTTAATACAAATTAGTAAACTAAACATGACCTTGTACTCTACAACACACACAGGGACCATGGGGAAGAAAAGTAGCCCCCCTCCAGAAGGAAGGACAGTGTCGGCACCAATTCTGAGATAATTTGAGGATCTACAGCTGAGTGATGCACAAATAAGATACATTTCTGTTATTAGTTAAGGCACTTGAATGTATTTTTAAGATGTATTTCCTGAGTTTAGTGTCACTTTAACTTTCTACATATAGAGACAAAACTGAAGTATATGTTTTCTGTAGAGTTGGCCTTCATTTTTTAGGTATGCACACATTTTCCAACTCTAGATAGCTATGTGAATACCTGCACGTCATTACTTTGCCATACATGTCACACTGTGCATCTATTACTCAAAGTTACAAAGGTATCACATTATTATTATGCAAATTTTTACATCCAGCGCTTTTCTCATAACAAGGAAGTATTTTCTAGGACAAATGCAAAATGTATTTGCTGTCATCATGAAGTTACACCCAGTGCCATAAATACAGTCATTCCAAGTGCTGGATTTATGTGCACTGAGTCATTCGATACCAGGGATATTCTATGATGATATCCTAGACCTAGAGGCTTAATAGTCTGCGTGTCTTCTTCACCTGTATACTAGGGGAATTCCCAATTTATTGTCTTTTTATAGATGTTAAGAAAAACGTGTTTTGTCACATTTTCAATTATGTAATTGTAACCTTATTTTGAATGGAATGTGTACAATCTAACATGTTGGCTGCTCCACATTTTCATTATTTCTGCAGAATCTCCCAAAAATCTGCAAATTATCCCATTTGTCACTAGCTGTATATGACTTAATGACCTTTTAGTATGACCAATGACCAATGAAATAAAATAAACTGGAGGATAAGCCACAAAGAGTGTTTTATTTGTATTCTATCTGGGCAAACTGAAAGGCATATATCGAGAGAGCAGAACAGTCAATGGCACTGATACATAAGAAAGCTGCCCCATGTGTATATACTGTACATATATTGAATACTATACAAACAAGGTTCTTAAAATACATAGGGCTGATTTCCATCAATAACTTGACAAAACTTGTTACATCTGTTGACACGTTGCAGTCCCATTCATTTAGAATTGTACCCCAAAGCACTAAGGCAACGCGCCTTCAAAATTTTGTGGCACATCCATTCTTTGGGATGTTTTGGTGCGTTGACAGCCCATTGCTTTCATGGGCTTCCAGGGCTGTCCCTATAATGAGGAAGCATGAGACGGTCACCTCAGGTGGCATCTCATTGTGGAGCAGCCGGATGGTGGGGTGGGACGGCAAGAGGGCGGCCACAAAGTCCCAGGTTGCTAAGAGCTCTTAGTAACCTGTGGCACTTTGTGCGGTGCTCCCCAGCTCATTGACATGACCAGTTGCCAGGAGTTGAGCAGGTGCACTCTTGCTTGCATCTCGCTTAGTTCCTGTAGACGGAGAGATGTTTGCATCTCCCCGCCAGCTCTCAGCAACCTCGTTTCATGGTAAGCTGCAAGGGAGTGTAGCTGTGGCTTCCTATCCAATCAGGAAGCTTGGCAGGTGGTCACATGGCCACTTGTAAGGTTCACTTATATACACGTGTGTTTGTACTTTTGTGTGCACACCCTAATGCAATAAGCTGTGCACACCTATGCATTTAAATATACATATGGTGATATTCATAATTACAGAGCTGCTATAATTAGTAAAATTATTATATCATAAAAAGTTCAGCTTTAACCCAACCTCTAGATATGCTTTCAGACATTGCAAACATTACTGTAGTGATACATCTGGTGATACATACAAGCTTATGTAATAAGCTGGAGTGCAGTGTTATGTTCATTAAACCATAGCAACCTATTATTTCATTTTTCCTGCTTTGACTGCAATAACTGATTAGTTCAGAGAATGCTGCAGTATTTTTTAAAGGTTTTCTCCACAGTGGGGCCCAGGCTGGATTGCTATATTTAATACCCACGTTTGTATAGGGAAAGCACTGTATCCTACTAAAATGGAGCTTTCTACAAATGATGAACCTTCTCTTCATGTTGTGGCTTTGTAGTAATGGATCTTGCTTACACAGTGGGGTAGAGGGGGAATAGAGATGTTTGTATTATAGTGATGGTAATGAGCACAGTGTAGTAAAAACCACAGTTAGGATGAGTGCCTAGGGCAAGGCTGGACAAATCACAGGAGCTAGGTGGCCAATGCTCCTTACAATTTACAGCTGGTGCCTAACTTTTAACTTTCAAAGTATTTTATTAAATGTTTTCAAAATAGAATAAAACAATAAGATAGCACATGATGCACAAACAGTATAGCATACAATTGTGGCTCAGTCTTCCACATTAGCATAGTCAGGTAGTAAGAGGGGATCACTAGAAACCATACACATAATGCATAATAATTCTGTGAAACAGAACATATCTATCATATATAGATATGTGCCTAACATTTGAGGTTTCCTCTAGTTGTTGTCAATAGAGCTGGCTCTTAAAACAATCCTGCTGGCTCCTGGATTGGACAGACAGAATTTCATATTTATTTGTCCTCCACTGGCCTAGGGTGTACAAGAGACAAAATTCAGCCAATCTTAGTACATACAGAACAAAAGGTAAGACTCAGAAATAAAGTTTGTTATATATCTGTACAATATTCACAGGTGACCTGGATCTTCTCTTTCATTTTTTTTTAACAAAACCGGGGTTAACATAGGAACAATTGTAAGGTCCAGTCATAAGTGAAACCTTGCTAATAAACATTCAACTAAATCTGTTTGTTTCTGTATTACAGCGCAGTAATATTCGATGGATTCAAATGGAAAACCCACAGATGATGGTGACAGCCTGATAAAGGTGAAGGAGGAAACAAAGCTTGTTTTGGAAGCATTTTTGAAACGATCTGTCAGTCAAGATGAGGCAGCACACCTAGGTCATGTGGGGCGTGTATACCACGATCCTAAGAAGTACTTGGTCAGGTAAGCCCATTACTAGATCTTATTCAAACAGGTCACTGCACAGACTGTGATCCCAAATGTGCAAACATTTTGAACCCGACAATGTGGCTAGAATATTTTCAGTTGTGCGGTGACTATTCTCACATTTATATAATGCATTTCAGATTCATTCTTATATGTCATTTTTGTTTATAAAGTGAAATAAATCAAACATTAGTATGGAGGACACCCTAGCAGCCCCTAAACCTAAGAGTGTTTTATTATGTAAATAGTGAATTCAGCAATGGAAGTTGAGCTCGCTCCTGCCCCATCTGCCTCCTCCTATGCATCACTGTTAGTCTGTCATTTGGAGGACCAGCCTCAATGACCAATATTGAGGCACATTGGGTTGGAGGGGATGGGTCTGAGAACCATCTCAGTCCCATAAGTCAGTAATTGAACAATAGAGCACCTTGAGTATTAAGGCTTTTCAGTACTGGACACCGACCATTGAAGGGGAGTCATTTTCGTATAGGAACTGCTACATGTAGGATATGTAGATTGGGCATTAAATCATTTTTGAGGGTTTCCTCCTATGGGGGTGTCATCTCTGTGTCTTCTATCAAATGGTCCGTGGATCAAATGGTACTGGGCCGCCCAAGGAACGTGTGCGACTTTCCATGGATGAGAGGTTAAAGGCTGTGACACACTGCAGGCGAAGCAGCGCGGCGCACAGGCGAGCGGCCACTCGCGGTCCTTCGCCTGCAGTGTGCCTAGTGAGTTCCGATCCCCCTTTCTGCCCGGCGACAGCGTGCGTAGCGCAGCGTCGTGAGATGAAAAAGTTCATCTCCAGCCAATCACAGTGCGCGATGCAATGAAGGCATCACAAAGCGGCAACACGTCTACTTGAAATATGGATTTATCAGGACAGGTGATTCCAATCTAAAATATAAACAAACAATCAATGTGTCCCCCCCTCAGCGGGCCGCGGTAAAATTATCAAACGTTGACCGGTCCGCGGTGATAAAAAGGTTGGGGAGCACTGTTCTAGAGGGCTGAGAAACAGGAAGCAATGTCACTACATACAAGGCAGTTCTAAGCAGGGGGCCCTGAGCAAACAGGATTTTCCTGAAAATACCCTCAAGTGTCAAGAAGTTTTTCCAAATGTGTTCAGAGACAATGGGAATTGTTTTGAAGATTTCTACTGTGTCTTTGCTCATGCAGAGATATTGGTAAATATTGCATTGGCTACCCTCAGAAACTCTTAATTGTCCACCCAGAGTTTTTGTGGTAGAACCACACTGAAAATATAATATTTCATTAAATCTAAATTATGCTGGAATTCTCTCCAAAGGATCCCAAACTCCTTGTCTTGGGCAAGGACAGATCTATTCAGGCCCTTCACAACATATAGTAAGAAGCTGGACTCTGGTAGTACCCTCTATGGGTGTAAAGGGGCAAAGCTCTTGAATTTCCAGCAGCTTCTTACTATGGCAGACAATGTGAAAACAAAGAGATTATTGATATATGATGTGCATTGCCACATGATTCCCTAATCTCTACAGTCACAAATATATTGAGATGCTAGGGGTGGCATTGGCGCCAAAGTAGGAATTTAACACTGCAGTGGGGGTGTCCTATTTACAATCACTGACCATTATATTAGGTACACCTTACTAGTACCAGGTTGGACCCCCTTTTGGCTTCAGAACTGCCTTAATTCTTCGTGGCATAGATTCAACAGGGTGTTGGGGATTTTGGTCCATATTGACATGATACCATCATAGGCTCAAAGTGTGCTAAGAAAATATCCCCCACACCATTACACCACCACCACCAACCTCAACCGTTGATACAAGGCAGGATGGATCCATGCTTTCATGTTGTTTACGCCAAATTCTGACCCTACCATCTGAATTTAGCCGCTGAAATTGAGACTCATCAGGCCAGGCAATGTTTTTCCAATCTTCTATTGTCCAATTTTGGTGAGCCTGTGTGAAGTGTAGCCTCAGTTTCCTGTTCTTAGCTGATGGGAGTGGCACCCGGTGTGGTCTTCTGCTGCTGTAGCCCATCTGCTTCAAGGTTCGACGTGTTGTGGTATTTTGCATACCATGGTTGAAACGTTATTTGAGTTACTGTTGCCTTCCTATCATCTCGGAACAGTCCGCCCATTCTCCTCTGACCTCTGACATCAACAAGGCATTTTCGTCCACACAACTGCCGCTCACTGGATATTTTCTCTTTTTAGGACTGTTCTCTGTAAACCCGACAGATGGTTGTGCGTAAAAATCCCAGTAGATCAGCCGTTTTTGAAATACTTAGACCTGCCTGCCTGGCATCAACAACCATGCCACGTTCAAAGTCACTTAAATCCCCTTTCATCCCCATTCTGATGCTCGGTTTGCACTTCAGCAAGTCATCTTCACCACGTCTAGATGCCTTAGGGCCCATTCATACCACATCCAGATCATCTGCAGACCAGACCAGATTGTTTCCAGACCAAAAATGCATCTTAATGTATCCCTATGCTATTTCTGGCCTCTTTTCACACCAGCGCAGTCCATTCCAGACCAGACCAGAAAAATACTGCATGCATCATCTTGTCTGGTCTGAAATGCACTGGAACTGCGTGTAGGTTCACACCATTTTCTGGACCATATCTGGTCCGGAAAATGGTGTGAACCTGCTCTAAATGCATTGAGTTGCTGCCCTGTGATTGGCTTATTAGCAATGTGTGTTACCAAGCAATTGAACAGGTGTACCTAATAAAGTGGCCGGTGAGTGTATGTTTAGAGCTGCTGTCAGGTCATCAAACAAAAAAGATCAATTAAGACAGTTGGGATGAATATTTTAAACATTTTCTCAAGGTCTTTAGAAAAAAAAATATGTGACACTTGATCATTCATTTTACTTACGAAATTACTAAACAGAGGTGTTTTTTTGTTGTTTTCTGATTAAGGACAAGTCAAGAGGAAATAAAAGACGGAGTTACAAAAAAAGGTAAAAAAGTTGAACCCAAGAAAACAAAAGGGTCTGGAAAGAGTAAAGATGAAAAAAGTCACAGCCCGACATTTCGGGAGGAGCACTCCAACCGCAGTGAGAAGTGGAATGACCTTCATGAGGAGATCAATCGGGTGGAGGAAACCAAACATGGCTTCACAACTAATATTAAGAAACTGCTGGGAAAGCAAAATAAGGAGAAAGCATCTACTCCAAAGGGGAGGAATGGAAGCTTACACAGTAAATCCAGAGGCTCTATTGAATCTGTACTAGATGACCATGGAAAGAATGTAGCTAAGGGGGATTCCTTGAAACGGCCAAAATCACCCAATCCTTTGCTTGCCTGTACAGTGGCGGCATCCACAATCTCTCTTCCTGATGAAGACCAGAAACGAAATGACAGAGATTCTCATGAGAAGCAAGGGACTCAAAAAAAACTTAGTCGAGCCTTTTCTTTAAAAAAATTCAAGTTAAAGAAAAAGTCAACGAAAGATGAAAGCTCAGGGTCAGATACAACACCAGTGCGTCCTAGTTTCTTACCGGTGACACCTTGCTTTGAGTCAGACAACTCCTCCCATCACAAAACTGGTATGATTTGATATTATCTATGTTTTATATATTTTTGGTTTTAGTTGGAACATGTCTGTTTCCACCAGTGCATTTTTTCCTAGTCTACTATATTACAATAGTAGGAGTGGAGCACAGTGGTAGGCAGTGATGTCTTGAGTCTGGGTTTAGAGTTAACCAGAACCCAAATCAAATACTATGTAACCCTTTTTTCATGAAGTTTGTGTTTTTACCATGTTACTGTGAATTTTCTCTTGGAGCTGTGCTTCATTCCTAATTTCCAGAAAAATCAGATCTATATAATGAATGAAGCAGAAACAGGTTCTAAGGTACAGCTTCCTCTCTAGCACAGGAGTACCTAGGCACAGTTACATATGAAGAAATTAAACAATAATGCAGATAGGACTTTTGATTTCAGAGGATTAGCATATAGACCAATAATATAGAGCAGTAAAAGGTCAGCAATGGCATCCCCATATTTCCTTTAGGAAAAGTTTAATTAAAGCTTGTATAAGATATTAAAGCAAATGTCTTCAGCAAAGTACTAAGGACACAGATGGGGACTTCAAATATATTTAAATCCTAAGAATTAACGGTTGCAGATCAGCGCGGTTACCACGCAAATAGTGCAGGGAGCAGTTCGGGCGGGGGGCGGTTCGGATTGCGTGGTCTCGCACAGTCGCATGAACGGTTCCCATAGAAATGTATGGGATCGTTCATGTAAGTGGATCTGTGCGGCCGAATCCGCTTGGCCGAACCGCCCTGGTGTGAACGGGGTCTTCTTGTGCTGAACGCTTATCAGTTAGCACTCCCCCCCCCCCTCATGCCAGTCTGAATGGAGAGTGTACTGTAATATGTTATCCTTGCTCTTGTTCATAACAGACCCCCCCCCCCCCCATGTTATGGAGATGGGAGGGTGAGGTGTTCTGTAGTAATAGCACATTTCCTCTTTTAGGGTGACAAGTGTGAGTATTATCAGGCAGTGTGTTATTGGCAGGTTCCCATGGTAAAAATAAAAATAATACTAGTAAATAAAGAAAACTAATGCAGCCACCTCATTTTTGAAGTAGTCAGCTGCAGCCAAGGAAAGCTTGGTGGTTTAGACACTTTTAGGCAATGCCCGTGCGAAGGAATAAGCTCAGGTTCAGGCCAAACCTGGTCTGAACCTGAGCTCCTCTGAACCCAGAAGGAGATCTTTCCAAGCATGAAAGGAAGCTCCTTTCCAGATTAATGTAAGCAAAGGGGTGGGATGCAGTGATGTCATTGACCTTATACGGACACATACCTATATTTGATAAATTACATTAGCACAAGCATTCCGCCCCTTTTGTTTACATGCAGCTGCAGGGTGGAGAATGCCCGGCCTACAGCTGACTGGGTGGAAGTACCATTGTTTGAAGGAGCTCAGGTTTAGACTGAACCCAGATCCCTAATCTATAGGCCTGCCATGTAAAACTGATATTCACTCAGAGGTTCTTGCTTTTAGACAAGAAAATGTGATAATTTACTCTTTGACAATGAACGCTTAAAATGTCATTAAAATCTACATTACTTGAAGAAACTATGGCCTGCTTCCTCTACCGTCCTTCTTCATAGCAAACTATCTACTAGTGTACTGATGTAAAAGCTCTCTTTTGCTGATCCACTGTAGAGTTGCTGCTGTAAAAGTCAAATAAAACCGACTTTCATTAGCCCAAAAGAGTGCCCAGACAGTAAAGGAAGCAGCTGAATTTTCTCTTTTATGTCAAAACTTTATGAGACAGTTTGGTGATGTTTTGGACATTTTTCACAGGTAAACTCGAAGACTCTGAGATATACACATTGGCTGCAAAGAAGCTGGAGGCATTGGTAAAACATAAGAAAGTGAAGAGCCCTCTGGAACCTTACCAATTTGAGTATTCAGAACAGGTTCCAAGGTCCCCTTCTATAGCTGGAGCTGGTAAGATTATTAAATTTAGCCCCATCTAGACTGTACAAGATTTCATTACACTCGCTCTCTCTGCTGCACCAATTTGAGCTGTCTAAATATTATTATTATTATTATTATTATACAGGATTTATATAGTGCCAACAATTTGCTCAGCGCTTTACGAAATAGTGGAGACAGTACAGTTACAGTACAATTTACAGTACAATACAGTTTCAGAACAATAGGGTTGGGAGGGCGTCTAATCATAGATATCAGTGCAGGTAATCTGGTAGAAAACTGACACTTCCTGAGAGTTGGATCATCAGATATCTGGGTCACCCATAGTCTCCAATCACACATATCTCCAATCACACAAGTGCATTTTTATCCATTTTTATGCATTTTCATGTGTCATGTGTTTTTGGTTTGGCCAATAAAGGTGAAATAAAGTATAGTTTACCAGGGGGTGGGAGGCTTGTTGTCATGCGTTAAACATCAGAAATTGCCTGCACCATTTTCCAAGTTGCTCAAAAGCACATTGCATAGATTTGAACAAGCACTAGAAAATCATGGGATTCCCTTTCTCGTGCATTGTCACGTGACGGTCAAAGTATTTCAAATCGCACAGGTGTAAATGGGGAGTAATGTACTCTGGTCGGCATTTGCACAATAATGTCATCACATGCAATGAAGGCGTGGAACTGTCCACAACCTGAAGAAAGTGAGAAATACGTTACCTATAACACCTCATTCCTTTATCTTTGGCATACCAAGCATTTAACCCTTGCAGTGAGCGTTGTGGCACTGTAAGGGAGGTGGCACTGTAAGGGTAGTTTTTGTGACATCCCTGGAGTTCAGCTTTATATAAATAATGAAGATTATGTTTGTTTATGTGTGTATACTATATATAAACAGCATATACATACACATACTGTGTATATGTATGTATGTGTGTGTATATATATATATATATATATA